ACCATTTGACAACATTGTTTGGTCAAATTTCGCATGCCATTATTTGGGTGCTTGTTTTAATCCGTAAAGAGACTTAACAAGTCTACATAGCTTCTTTTCTTTACCAGGAACCACAAACCCTTCAGATTGTTCCATGTAGATTTCTTCCTCCAAGTCTCCATTTAAGAAGGCCGTCTTAACGTCCATTTGATGAATTTCAAGACCATAAACTACAGCTAATGCTACTAACATTCGTATGGACGTAATTCTTGTAACCGGAGAGTATGTATCAAAATAATCAAGACCTTCTCGCTGTCTATACCCTTTGACTACAAGTCTTGCCTTATATTTATCAATAGTGCCATCATCTTTCATTTTCCTCTTAAAAATCCATTTAGAACCCAAAGGTTTATTTCCAGGAGGAAGATCAACCAATTCCCATGTATGGTTATTCAATATGGATTCTATTTCACTATTGACTGCCTCTTTCCAAAACAATGATTCCGAAGAAGACATAGCTTCTTTAAATGTTCGAGGCTCATTTTCCAATAAGAAAGTCACAAAATCTGGTCCAAATGAAGTAGACGTTCTTTGACGTTTACTACGTCTTGGATTCTCCTGATTACATGTACTTTCTTTTGTTTCTTCCCGAGGTCGTTTAGATCCTTCACCAATCGACTCACATTCCTTGTTATATGTGTATATATTTTTAAAGAATTCAGCATTATCTGATTCTATAACCATATTATTATGAATGTCGGGATTTTCTGATTTATGAACCAGAAATCGATATGCTTTACTATTGGTCGCATGTCCTATGAAAACACAATCGATGGTTTTCGGTCCTATTTTTACTCTTTTGGGTTTAGGAATTTGCACTTTTGCCAAACACCCCCATACTTTAAAATAATTCAAGTTGGATTTCCTTCCTTTCCATTTTTCATATGGAATGGATTGTGTTTTGCTATGGGGTACTCGATTTAGTGTCCGGTTAGCCATAAGAACGGCTTTCCCCCACAAGTTTTGTGGCAAACCAGAACTTATTAACAATGCATTCATCATCTCCTTTAATGAACGATTCTTTCTTTTCGCAATCCCATTGGATTGGGGCATGTAAGGGGCAATTGTTTGATGAATTATTCCATATTCTAGATATATTTCTTCAAAAGGAGATTCATATTCGCCACCCCTATCACTTCTTATCATTTTAATTTTCTTGTTAAGTTGCGTTTCAACTTCATTTTTGTATTGCCTGAATGCATCTATTGCTTCATCTTTACTATTAAGTAAGTAAACATAGCAATATCGAGTATTGTCGTCAATAAAAGTTATGAAATACTTTTTTCCACCGCGAGATGGCATTGACTTCATGTCGCAAATATCTGTGTGAATTAAGTCTTAAGGATTTGAATTCCTTTCAACTGACTTATAAGGATGTTTAACATACTTAAATTCCACACATATTTGACATTTTGATTTGTCGCATTCAAACATGGGCAATACTTCCAAATTAATCATTTTTCGTAAGGTTTTGTAATTGACATGACCCAAACGTATATGCCATAATTCATTTGACTCAAGTAAGTAAGAAGAAGCCGAAATTTTATTATTATTCTCAATAACCATTATATTCAGCTTCAAAAGGCTCTCAGTGAGGTAACCTTTTCCTACAAATATTTCATTCTTACTTATTACAACCTTATCAGATACAAAGACATACTTAAACCCATTCTTAACAAGAAGTCCAACAGAGACTAAGTTCTTTCTAATCTCGGGAACATGAAGGACGTTGTTCAAGGTCACCACCTTACCAGAAGTCATTTTCATAAATATCTTTCCAGATCCTTCAATTTTTGCCGTTACAGAATTTCCCATAGAAAGCGTCTCTTCGGGTCCAACAAGAGCATATGTAGCAAATGCTTCTCTAACAGCACAAACATGGCGAGTGGCTCCAGAATCAATCCACCACTCCTTAGGATTTCCTACCAGGTTGCATTCAGAAAGCATGGCACATAAGTCATCGATATCTTCGTGCTTTTCAACCATGTTTGCTTGAACCTTCTTCTTGTCTTTCTTTGGAGCACGACAATCTGCAGACCTGTGTCCAGCTTTTCCACAATTGTAGCAATTTTCGTTGAATCACTTCTTGCTTGGGTTGCTTTTCGGTCCATAAGCCTTCTTTCTCTTTCTATCCTCAACAATGTTTGCTCCCATTATTGTTGATTTTCCACGTCCTTTCTTTTCAGTAGCTTTATTGTCCTCTTAGATTCTCAAGGGACATCTCCTTTCGTTTGTGTTTCAAGTAATTTTTGAAGTCCTTCCACCAAGGAGGCAACTTTTCAATCATTGCTGTAACTTGGAACGCTTCATTGATGACAAGACCTTCAGTGAAAATTCTGTTAATAGAAACAATATAATTAATACTTTCAACATTAGTATTAATTTAACTTATACCTTCAACAAGGAGATCATGAATAATCACTTGAAATTCTTGGACTTGGGTAATAACAGGCTTGCTATCTACCATTTTATAGTCCAAAAATTTAGCGGCAACGAATTTCTTTAACTCGGCATCTTCCGTTTTGTATTTCCTTTCAAGCGCTATCCATAGTTATTTTGACGTCTCCATATTACTATAGACGTTATATAGATTGTCCTCTAGTCCACTAAGAATGTAATTCTTGCATAGAAAATCAGAATGCTTCTACGACTCAGTCACGAGAAAGCTCTCATTTTCTGGAGTTTCGTCGGGCAGAACAAGAACATCTTTCTTAATGAACTTCTGCAGACTTAAAGTCGTCAAGTAGAAGAGCATCTTCTGCTGCCAGTGCTTGAAGTCAATCCCGAAAAAATTTTCGGGTTTTTCTGCCGGTGCCAATGTCGGTGTTGTTCGGCTTGTCGATGCATTGGCAGTTACCATATGAACAGTCTGGTTCCCGTTGTCATTCGTCATTTTGATGCTTTCTTGGAGTATGTAAACTTGTTGTAGTCCATTTTTCTTTGATGCTTTGGCAATATTTTTCACATGTACCTGACTATAAACTTGTTGTTTACCTGTATTTGTAAAGTAATTATGGAGAAGATAAAATAACATAAATGCAGAAGAAAGGAGGAGAAGTCAGAAATTCATATGAAAAATCTGAGAGAATGGACTGGTATTTATAGCCAATGTTGAGCTCAAACTGAAGAGGTGCAACTCTTCAAATCCGAAGAGGTGCCAACTGTTTCTTCAAATCTGAAGAGGTGCAAACTGTTCTTTAACTCTTCAGATTTGAAGAGGTGCAAACTGTTCTTTAACTCTTCAGATTTGAAGAGGTGCAAACTGTTTTGTAAATGTCTTTTACAAAAAGCGAAGAGCATATACTATTACGTTTGGATTTAATATTAATATTTTGTTTACAAAAAATCGGATATTTAATAACAATTCTGTTAATATTTACTATTAACAAATAAATTTGGTCCAAAAAATTAATCAATTAATCAATCGATCATTTGACCGAAGCCGAAGCCGAAGCCGAGGCCGAGGCCGAGCCGAGCGAGCGACGACGGCGCGAGGCTTGCCTTCTTCTTAACTCTTTAAGAACTAGAAGAAGTGCAATTGTATATATACCCATCAAAATCTTTTCCTTCTCAAATATGGGACAATATCCCTTTGTCAAGGAGGGAAACTCAAATATTTTCAATCCCTTTGTCAAGGAGGAAAACTCAAATATTTTTAATTTTCCTCCATTTCCCATTCACCCTCTTTTAAGCTACATTTAAGCTTAAAAAACCCAACAGTTATTCAGCTCTCCTACAAAATATATGTGGACACTTTGACATTTACAAACTGCCTTATATTTTCAAATGAATCTCACCAAATCCTTGTCTATAGTTGAGGCAAAGTACAAAATCATTGTATTGAAGTTCAATCTCTGGTAGATATATAGCTTTATCTTTTCTATTTCCCTTTAGGTAGCCTTCTTGTTTTGGTCGATATGATTCAACATCAACAGCTGTTCAAGTAGAGTACACAACCTTCATCAGTAAGAGAGGATCTTTCACACTAAAATACACCTCTACTTTGGAGTGTTTTTGACATTTGTTACCACAATCAATGTTGATATATATAAGGAATAGCCAGAATGTCATGCTATAATAACTACAAATGCTTATAAGAATGCATTTTGTTGTGTATGCATCGGCTATTTTTAAGCTAATGTGCATCTACATTAGAATACCTTCACTAGACATTGCTTAATTGTACAAAATATATGCATCGGCTATATAGACGGAGGGGATATTATGCATGCTCTTGGAAAAAGTAATATGTGAACCTGTAGTTCTCTTGCAGATCTTCCATTTGTTGTCTCAGCCTTTCTGCCTCTGTCCGCCACAACTGGCAGTTAAGAAACGTAGCCGTTTTAATAATGTTAAAAAGGAAACCAGCAATAATATTGTTGAGTGAAGCATTGCTTGGTCTTTGAAATTTTTTTATTTCTATTACAGTTTTTTGGTTGATTAGAAAGACTTCATTTACGTTTACCAGATATCTTTCGCAAGATACATATCCCTTCTTGCTAATTCTAGGCATTTTCACATACTGAAGAGGAAAATCAGATTCAAAGTGTATTCACTTTTTGGTTCTCAACATACAAGGTAGTGGTCAATCCCCCCGCCACCAAAATGCGGCTTTAATTAAAACGCAAAAGGCATATTCTAACTCTGAAACCTTGTTGTTTCTGCCAATAGTTTTATTTTTTCAGAAGGTCCGATGCAACTGAACATTCATGGCTAGATTAAAATTTAGATTGAATTCTGTTTAGACGATTATTAATGATAGTGAAGTCGTGGATCTGTAAAATGAGTAGAAGATTACCTTGGCCGCTGAAGAGGGTGTCAACAATTGATGGTGTTCCTTCTCTTCATTATATCTGTCAAATATTGATTTCATGCTGATAAGGAAAAGCTAAGATATTAGTCAATTGGAAGGTCTACGTTGCCAAGATATTAAAGGTGGAAATTATGCTATTTGGTGATGAGGAGATTAAGAATATTATAGCATGCGAACGTGTGATTACACACACGAGGAAATCAAGGAGCTTTGCCTCCTCTAATCCTATAAGAAAAAATGAGAGTAACCTTTCTTTTACTGTTTACCCCCATGAATGAGTTCGATTTGAACAATGAAGTTTTAGCGTGGTTCTGGAATGTTCTTTCAGAGACATGAGAGAAGAAAGGGAATAAAACGAATCAAGCCACTTAAACATTTGGCCCCCACTTGTATTTATACCTCAGTGTTCTAATTACAAAGATAGCTAACTATACAATTACAAAAGAAATTAAAGTATATCCTAGTGTAATAACTGGCCACAATATAAATAAGTGTGCTGGGCCACTTAAGTTTTATGCTCTTGTTGTAGGCCTAAGAGTGACTGCCCGTCAGATAGCCCAGTACCCCCCTTCAAGTTGAAGGGGGATAACACCTTCAACTTGGAGAGAAGAATGATGAAAAACTGCATATATAGTGGCTTGGTGAGAATGTTAGCAAGTTGGTTTGAAGTAGATAGACAATTGAATTAAGCCTTCATGCAACTAGGTGCATATGAAATGACAATTCACCTCGATATGCTTCGTGCGCTCATGGAAAATTGGGTTCTTGGCTATATGAACAATAATTGCATTGTCACAAAAGACAGAAATAGGAGAAACAATAGGAACAGACACATCATAAAGCAGCATGGATACCCAAGTTAACTCAGTGACTACTTTACTCAAAGCTCGATATTCAGCCTCAGTTGATGACAGAGAAACCACTGGCTGCTTCTTTGATTTCCACCCAATGAGGCTATCCCCCAAGAATATACAAAAACCAATGACTGATCTATGTGCGCAGGGCAGGCAGCCCAATCACTGTCAGAGTAGGCCTGGACAAAGAAATCAGGAGAGCTAGAGTAGAATAACCCAAGATCGAGTTTACCCTTAAGATACCTCAACATATGAAGAGCAGCATGCATGAGAGGAACTCTGGGAGCCTTCAAAAATTGACTGAGGTGCTGTACTCCAAAGCAAATGTCAGGCCTAGTGTGGGTTAAAAATAATAGTTTCCCAAAAAGGCTTCTGAACTTATCAGGTTAGGGAAGCAATTCACCAACACTGGCTTGCAATTTGTGATTCAACTCTAATGGAGAAATGACAGAAGTTGCATCCAAACAGTTGTATTCTTGCAACAAATCATGAATAAATTTCTTCTGATTTAATAGAACACCAGTAGAATGGGAAGTGACTTCAATTCCCAGGAAATAGTGAAGAGACCCCAAGTCTTTTATTTTGAACTCACTATCTAGGAACTGCTTTAATCCATTTATCTCATCTAATGCATTACCTGTGAGGATTATGTCATCCACATAGACTACCAATACCACTAGATTACCAGGAGTGCCTTTGACGAATAACGAATAATCATTCGTGGAATGAGAGTAATCTTTAGAGTAGAGAGCTTGAGACAGCTTGGCATACCATTGCCTAGAAGCTTGTCTCAACCCATAGAGTGATTTATTGAGCTTACAGAAGAAGAAGAAGAAGAAGAAGAAGAAGAAGAAGAAGAAGAAGAAGAAGAAGAAGAAGAAGAAGAAGAAGAAGAAACAATAAGACCAGGAGACAATTTCATATAAACATCCTCATCCAAATCACCATGCAAGAATGCATTATTAACATCAAGTTGAAATAATGGTCAATGTCTTTTGACAGTTACAGCAATAAGACACTTGACAATAGACATTCTAACCACACGGGAGAAGGTTTTATTAAAATCCACACCTTCTACTTGTGTATTACACCTGATTACCAACCTAGCTTTATATCTTTCAACATTACCATCAGCCTTATATTTGATTTTATACACCCACTTATAACCTATGGGTTTCTTACCTTGAGGTAATTCCACAATTTCCCGGGTATGAGTTGCTTGTAGGGCCTCAAACTCTTTCCTTATGGCATCCTGCCATGCTAGAACAGATGCAGCATGAGAGTAGTGATATGGTTCAAATTCTACCTGCTGAGCATTGGAACATAAAAAAGAAGAAGGAGAAAACTGCAGAACATTATCTTTTAGGTAAGAGGGAAGGTTATGAACCCTAATGGACTTTCTACGGTTAGGTATAGGTAAAGTAGAGATGACAGGAGTAGAGGGCAAGACATTAGAATTGAAAGGCATAAGAGATGTAAGGAGAGGAGAAACAGAAGGAGTAGAAGAAATAGGAGAAGCAACAGAAGAATGAGGAGAAGGAGCAGGAGGAACAACAGGAGGAATGGAAGCTTGCAGAAAGTCATCATCCACAATAGCAGCAGTGATGGGGATTTGGGTATGAACAGAGTTAGGGAAAAAAAATCAGAAGCAAAAGAAAACAAGTTCTCATAAAATGTGACATCCCTTGAGATAAAACATTGCTTGGATTGTAAGTTGTATAATTTGTAGCCTTTTTGGCAAAAGGGTAACCAAGAAATACACAAGGTAATGTCCTTAGTTTAAGTTTGTCTCTTTGATGTATTATGGCAGTAGCATAACAAAGACAACCAAAAGTTCTTAGATATGAATAATGTGGGGATTTGTTATAAAGGATTTCATAGGGTGACTTGTTGTGCAGTAATCTGGAAGTGAGTTTGTTAATGATATATGTGGTTGTTAGAAGGCAGTCACCCCAGAACTTAATAGGTAGTTTAGATTGAAAAAATAGAGCTCTAGATGCTTCAAGTAGGGTCCTATGTTTTCTTTCCACTATACCATTTTGTTGGGGTGTGTGTGGACAAGTAGTTTGATGAGTAATACCCTTTTCTGAAAAGAAAGAAATGACAACATGACTAGATTCTAGTTTAAGTGCATTATCAGATCTTATGTTTTGTACAGTTATATGAAATTGAGTCTTAACCATTGCAACAAATGCCTTTAAAAGAGAAAAGGCATGACTCTTGGATCCCATAAGATGAGTCCAAGTACTCTTAGAGAAATTATCAACAATTTTAAGGAAATACCTAGAATCAGAATAGGTGAGAGTGTGATAAGGTCCCCAAGTTTCAACATGAATCAATTGGAAAAGCTTAGAGGTATAAATGGAGCTATAAGGAAAATACAGTCTAATCTGCCTTGCCATGGGACAAATATCACAAGGGAAAGACTGTACAGATGAGATAACAGGTGAAATTTCAGAAATATATTTTATTTTAGTAAAAGGAACATGTGCAAGCCTGTTATGCCAAACACAATCCATGTCATTTATAGTAGCTTTATTACATGTGGAAGAGACAGTTTGTACAAGAGAGAAAGGAGAACTAGAAGTGCACAAAGGTGATAAGCTACTGGTGTAAGCAGAAGACAAAATACTTTGAGATTGAGAAGGTTTTTCCCAAATGAACTTGTATAGACCACTGTCCAGTTTACCAAGATCTAGAAGCTTCTTCAGAGAAGGGCCCTGTTGAATACATAAAATTGTGGGAAACTAAACTATGCAATCAAATTATTCAGTAAGTCTGTGCACAAAAAATAGGTTATGTTTGAAAGAAGGAAGATATAACACATTCTGTAAGATGATAGAATCAGTTAGTACAAATGACCCTGTACAAGTAACTTTGACCTTATAACTATTTGGAAGGGAAACTAAAAAAGGAATTGGTAGTGGCATGATGTTAATAAGGAAATTTTTATTTGATCTCATATGGTCAGAAACACCAGAATCAATTATCCAAGTTAAGGAATCAGATTAAGTCAGCAAGGCAGAATTAAAATTATATGTTACATTTTTAAGCAAGTATATACCAACAAAGTTAGCAGAAGCCATGATGTTGAGTGAAGATCCAGAATCAGACGTATGAGCTTGCTGAAGTAAAGAGATGAGATGATCATATTGTTGCTTGGTCAGACTAGGCACCCTAGATCCCTAATCATGTTGGCTAACACTAGGTTGTGTGGGTTGAGTAAAGGAACACATACAGAATGAGGAAGATCAGAATTCTCAACCATATTAGCTTCTCCCTTTCTTCCTTTTGTGAACTTGAAATTGGAGGGAAACCCAATAAGTTTGTAACAATTTTCAACCATATGCCGAGGTTTCTTGCAATACTTGCAGAAAACAACATTTCTAGACTGATCAAAATTCACTCTTTGATGAAATTATTTTTGGGCTTGAGGATTGAACTGTTTTTGCTGAAAGTGAGATTGAATGGATTTATTGAAGGAGGAATTCACATTGAAGGAGGCTGACTCAGATTGAAAAGAAGGATTTGGGTTCACTTGTCTCTGCTTTTCATCTTGTAGAAGAATATTATATACACTGTCAAGAGAGGGCAGGGGTTGCATCATCAACAGATTGCTCCTAAACCATACATACACCTCATTCAGTCCCATGAGAAATTGATGGACTTTGTCCTCCTCTTTCTCCCTTTGAAGGCCTTCTTTTGCAGCACAAACACATGAATTTGCATGAGTGGTGTACATACCCCCCAGTTCATCCCAGATTGAAACATGAGGCAATATCAAAAGATCCTTGGTAAGTGGAGGCAAGCTACCTTTTTAATTCGAAGACATTGGTCCCATTTACTACCCTATATCTATTATTAAGTTGTTTCCATATACTTTCAGTTGTTTCTGAGTACTGTACACTTTCAGCAATATCAGTTGACAAAGAATGAGTCAACCATGAAATGACCATATTATTACAACGATCCCATTACCTATATTGAGGAGAGTTTTCAAGAGGTTCGATGCATGACCTATTAATGAATCCTATTTTATTTCTAGCAGATAAAGAGGCTATCATATTACGTTTCCATTCTCCAAATCCAACCCCCGAGAATGGTACAGTGAAGGAAATACCAGGAATATCAGAAGATGAGAGGAATAGGGGAGGAGAAGGATCAATATGGAAGTACACATAGAAGTAGACGCACTAGGTTCAGAACT